GTTGAAAAGGGCTTTATCGTGTTTTTACAGCGATCGCAATACAAGCTCGGCTCGCTTTTGTGTAAAAGTTTCAGGATTTGGTACGGTCACGTGTGTAGTGGTCAAATATTTACAACATGGTGGCAGCCAGGGGGGTCACTTTTGTCTAGTGAACGGGATACCAGTTCATCGCTCTAAGCCCCTCTACCTCGTTGACGTACAGAAACATGACGAACACCATGATGATGCGCTTTTGATGCTCTCTGATTGGTCCCATCAGCTCGCAGCGTTGGCTGCTTCTGGGGCCCTAAACTCGTCAAACACAAAGTTAGAGCCGAGAAAGTTGGCGGAGCGCGCCGATTGGACGCTGGCTACAAAAGCGCGAAGTCATCGTCGTGATCGTCCAATCGGTGCGCTCCGTAAACTTTGGCCCCAACTTTGCGTTTGACGAGTTTAGAGCCCCTGGACTTCAAGCGAAACGAAGTATAGGCTTTTGCGAAAAATCGGCTTCTGCGCGCTGCCATTTTGTCTGCTAAGCTGTGGAACACCCTTTGAGCATGCGCTGTTGCTCTGTTCTGCGGTAGATCAGACGCTGCGCATGCGTCCACAGCTCAGTGACTCAGCATGTTTTCGCCCGGGTGATGACAAAATCCACCTAGAAAAATCAAAGCCCATGAACAGCCTCCAGTGACGTCATCACACTCGGATGGCGCCAACTGAGTTATTGGGCCCGACGCCGAGTGTCCTTTGACGCAATGATTGAACACGAGTCAGCTCCACCCCGTTGTCATATTTGACACAGCTGGTAAAGAAACCAACGAGGTATGCCGATGATACAGCTAACACACTTGATTTAATTCTGTCGACACACCCTGACCTTATATCTTCTCTTACGTATCTTCCAGGCTTAAGTGATCACTCGTTGTTAAATTTTGATCTCAAAGTTGCTCCCCCAATCAATACTAAAAAAGTAAAGCTTATTTCTGACTACATAAAAACCAATTTTTATCTTATGAACCGAAAACTGTGCAGCTATCTGGACATATATCTGCCAGAATTTGATCAGCGAAACGTGCAGGAAAATCGGAGGTTATTTTGTTTAAAAGTAAACGAACTGATTGATGCGCATGTACCCGTCAGGTGTATTCAATCTGATGATAAAGCACCTTGGTACACTAACACCCTAAAACGTCTTTCCAATAAAAAACAGCGACTTTTTCGTTCAGCTAAATTACGTAACACGATTGATCGGTGAGAAGCATACTTTGCTGCTGACGTCGAATATTCCCAAGCTGTATCTGACGTCAAAGAAATTTTTTTAAGAACACTTTACCGAGTCTATTGTTAAATGACCCCAAAACGTTCTGGAAGACTGTTAATATGAATGACGACGGCTTAATTTCTCTTAGCGATGAGTCCGGCAGAATATCCATGAGTGTTTAATAATGTGTTTTCAAATAGTTTTTCTGTAGGCGATGGAAATGTGTCTTATGACGTTCCACGTTGTGAGTTTAGCCCTATGTTTCCAATTTCCATGGAACCTACTGAAATTGTAAAGTTAATTGATTTTTTGAAAGTATCATCGTCATGTGGTAGCGATAATATTAACTCAAAATGTCTAAGACAAACTAAAATGTACTCATCCTTTTTTTGGCCAAAATTTTCCAGCAATCCCTTGAGTGCGGAACGCTCCCAATAGAATGGAAAACTGCGAAGGTGGTTCCACTGCATAAGTCTGGTAACAAGCATTCTCCGTTAAATTATCGAACCATTTCACTAACAAGTATTCCCTGTAAAATAATTGAGCACATTCTGTACTCTCATATTTTTAATTACCTAGGATCCAATTCATTTTTCGCCCCTGCTCAACATGGTTTCCGTCGCTCATTTTCTTGTGAAACGCAGCTGCTTCATTTCACCCATTGTTTGCATGCTATACTGGACAAAAACCATCAGGCTGACTGTATTTTTCTCGATTTTTCTAAAGCATTCGACAAGGTTAATCATAAGTTACTAATGCTCAAACTTTCTTCATTAAACCTAGGTCCTAACTTGTAAAGCTGGGTGGAATGCTTTCTTACCAACCGCTCACAATATGTAACTCTAAATGGCATTAATTCATCCCTGACTGATGTAGTATCGGGCGTGCCCCAAGGTTCAGTTTTAGGCCCGCTTCTTTTTCTAATATTCATTAATGATTTGCCAAGTTGTGTTTCTTTCTCCATGCATTTATACGCAGATGACTGTGTAATATATCGGGAAGTTCATGATGATGATGATGTACGCATTTTGCAATTTGATTTAAATAATACTACTCTTTGGTGCAAAAAATGGCATATGGAACTAAACCCTAACAAATGCAAACATATGCGCGTTTCCCGGCAAGGCGCACGCCCTTGCCGGGAAACACTAACCGACATTCAACTTGAATCTGTAAACTCATATCGTTATCTGGGTGTTACTTTATCGTCGACATTAACCTGGAAGCCTCATATTGATATAATAATCGCCAACGCTAACCGCATGTTAGGATACCTACGACGAAACTTCAGAACAGCCCCAGTTAACTTAAAACTTCTTCTTTATAACACTCTTGTACGGTCAAAATTGGAATACGCAGTCTCTATTTGGGATCCTAACCTAGCCTTTCTGCATAAAGCTCTCGAACTAATTCAAAATAACGCCGTCCGTTTCATTCTGTCTAATTATAATCAAACAGCTAGCATATCATCAATGAAGTCTAGTTTGTTGTTACCTTCTTTGTCATTGCGCAGAAAGTTTTTTCGACTTTGCCTGTTTCATAAAGTGTACCATCATCAGTCGCTGCGAGACCATTTCTTTACATTGCCTAACTATTACTCTTCCCGTCTGGACCATCCGAATAAAGCTGGATTAACACGTTGCCAAACAAACACTTTTTTTTATTCATTTATCCCGCATACATCAAACGACTGGAACCACCTTCCAGCAGATATCGCAACTATACCCGATTATTTTCTTTTTCGCCAATCTTTGTCTACAATGTTTGGTGAGCGGGGGGATCGGAGGAAGGTTTTCCCTTTGACCTGGTTATGCTGTTGGGTCTGCACAGTATTTGGAAGTCCCGAATGGCTCTACACAACGCTGATAAAAATGTACGGGAGGCGCGGGAATATTTTCGTGAAAGTGTATCTTTGTTAGTTGAAGTCAACAGAGCACAGAAGTGCGAGCCTGAGTGGCTTCCGCGCATTGGGGCACTTTTGTCCATGAAACAATTTTAGCCTCCGACGCCAGTCACTTCGGACTGGTTTCGTTTAGCCTTGCCCTGCTTCCTATGGTTTGAGCGATATGCCTGCCTATTTGACAATGTAAAAAAACCCGGCAATAAAGAAAAAAAAAAAAAAAGATCGGTGGCCGAGTGGTCTAGCGCACACCAGCTCGGAGCACGTGGAGCGAAAGCTCGCGCTGCAGAACCCAGGGATCCTGGGTTCGAGCCCCACCCCTGCCCGTTTCGATCTGGATGAGCATCGTACCGGCGTGCGGTCGTGTATCACGACTGCGTGATGCACGTTAAAGACCCCAGGCTAGCGGCTGTACCGCACTGGCTAAATTCCTCATCTACAGCTGGGAGACTCGTCGCCCCTGTGAGGCAGACCAAGTTCTAGGCTGTATAAACACACACACAACCCAATTTTTTGTTTGGTGAGCCAACATGAGTCATTTTATTTTGTTTATTTTGTCCGTAACAGATATTGCGTACTGCTTTTGCCAATGGAAGCGTGTTTTTGATATTTGAATTTCTTGCCGAATGTATTTTTTTGTTTTGTTTTGTCAGTTTGTTTGATTTTTGTTTGCTTTGCCCCTCCCTTCTACAATGCTTCGGCGCTTGAGGGTATGAACAATAAATAAATAAATAAATATGAAATATCGTACGCAAGAACTGCGTGACATCGGAGAAGACTTCACCCTAAAAAAAGAAAAGAAAAAGAGCGTCGTCGTACACCCTTTTGTCCCATCTCATGCTCCCCGAAACTTCGATTCGACGCACAGGGCATTAAACTCGAACAGGCGTCCCCAAATTTTACGACGGGCTTGGTGACGGTGCGATATAAGTTATAACTTATTAAACAGCTAAAGTACGTATCAGAGACTACAGAAAGAAAACTCTAAGGTTTTGCAGTAAAGCAAACAAAAAGCCATTTGTTTTTGTAGTTAGTAACACGTAAATTAGCTCTTTAATAAGGTGTACCACACGGCCATCAAGCCCCTCGCGAAAGCTTGTACCGTCAGTTTGACGTCAGTCAGCTGTACGTCAAACAGAAGGTTTGGGGTGTCTTATATGGGACAAAGGGTGTAAGAATATACCCTTTTTTTTCTAAAAAAAAAACGTTCTGCCCCATAAAAGAAATAAATTCTACAAAATAGGAGGGTCTTGGAATACGGCCGCTTTCAAGTTTCTATTATAGACGCGTACACACCAGTTAAATAAAAATTAATAAAGATTATGTTAACTACGAGATTCCGATTATACACTTTATGTCCGCCTTGGAGTATAACCGTTAAGTCGGGACGGCACTGCTCGTACATGATACATAAGACACGGTGTTCGTTGCAGGCATGATGACATGCATAATTATCTTCGGACAGGTCTTAAGCATGTTTGAAACATGAGGGCTTCACATATACGTCTGCCTCGAACATGTCTGCGGGCAGTTTTTTGTAGGACGATTGTGACAAGGACGAAACACGCTTGAGACAGTAAAGAGTTTTAGAGAACCGTTCTTGCACATTCGATGCGTTACGCCGGACCCTCCGGTACGAACTGCGCATGTGCGAATCTTCTGCTGTAGCGCATGCGCAGTTTGTACCGGAGGGCCCAACGTACCGTCTGTATTGGCTATATGCTTTGTAACGGGCGGTAGCTCGCGCCACCTAGCCTATGTCTATATTGAAACACGCTTGAGCCAGCGTCTGCAGACTGACTTTTGCATGATGTCGTAGCAGCGCTGCGACCGCGGTTAACGGTGCCTTTGTGCGAACAGAGGATGAATGACGAGCTCCTCAAGGTCGGCGACTTCAACGTGTTTGCGGTGGACTGGTCCAAGGCGAGTCTGTATGACTACATCCAGGCGAGTGCGAACACCCGAATCGTGGGCCTGGAAGTGGCCAGCCTGATCGAGAAACTGCGAGTGAGTTTGTTGGCCAAACCGATATCCTGTCGTCGTGGCAAGTCTGTAACTTTCGAAATATGCCAAACAATAATGGCAAAGATAAAAAAAAAAATGCAGATATACGAGTTTTCTGATCTTGTTGTTGTTGCTATAGTGACAGTCTTTTGCAGCGTAAGAACTGCAGGGGAGGTCGGGCTCCAACTCAGGAATAAAACCTTTCCAAAATTCAGTTCGGCACTTTTGACCCCTCATCTCAGGAATGACACATGTGCCGTACTAAGGGCGGTCTTCTGGTACTGGGAAGGAAGATGTCGAAGATGCTTCTAAGCAGATAATACGGGACTTGCACATTCAAGACGTGGTGCGATGCGACTCGGGAATAGACCAATCTCACCAGGTACTTTTCGCTACGTTGCCTGTGCCGCGGTGCATCCAAGGAACTTTAGTCTTTCTATACGTGCGATAACCTATATACGAACCATAACCTCGCTGTGGTGCTGAGCGTGCAGAGCGTGAGACGGTACGAGCCCTCTTGTGCACTGACCTGTGGACTAAAGGCATCATGCATGCGCCAAACCCTTGGTGCGATCGGTTTATTGAGTACAACAGTCGCGTAAGCGTTCATTTCAGGCTCGAGAGTTGGGTCTGGTCACGGCCGGACTGGAAGCGCGCGCTCTCTTTCTCTTCTTACGGCCTTTGCAATTGGGGCAATCGCCACCTCCCGCCGCAATTCGCGGGGGGCGCTGTCACCTCACCCCTGGTAGAGTGCCTTCATACACACGCGCGCCTTTGCTTGAGTGGTGACATCTCAGCCATTTTTCCGCTCAATCGTTTTTCATGCCTTTTGAAGTGCGCGCAATCCGGTGTCACTCAGCTCGAGCGCGTAGCTTTGGCTAATGCATAGACGCCATTTTACCGCCCAAGTCATGCAGCGAGTGCGCGAGAGCGTCACGCGCTGGCACATTCAGTGCAACAATGGATGTCTTCACCCTGAGACAGACAGACATGCAGGCACCCTAACCCCTGGGCTACTTTTGCCACTTGCACAGAGCGCGTCTGACAGTGTATCTAAGCGCTGTCGCAACCTGCGGCCGAGATTTTTATAGCCTTTGACAACTGATCCTTACGTTTAGATCCTCAGCCACTACCTAATACGCTTCTGATGAGCCCAAAACGGTGAATATTTGCTTGTGAATGGGCCCAGCTGAACATGAAAAGCATGCAGAAAAATATTCGTTATCCGAACCAACTTGCTCAGCTAAAGCCCGTAACAAGGTGAATATTTGACGCACATCTCCGAGAGATTCGGGAGTAAAATGTAGTAAGTAGAGGCAGCGAATGCAGTTGAGGAAAAACTATACTCGTCTTTACCTCCAGGACTTCTGTTGCAACTCAAGAATAGGAGGAGACGGACCCCTTGTACGTGGAGGAACTTTAAATGATAAATAATTCGTACACTCTCGTGAAATGTAAGCAGGCCCATTCTATCTATTGCCGTGGTCTGCATCATCATTTCATAGGCCGCACATGAAGTCGGTCAGCTGCTCTACACGAGGGTGTAGTAGACTGTACAATTTTCGTACACTGCATATTACAGCCTAGAGTGCTTCCTCGAGGGCTTGTGCACATATCCAGTTGATGTTTCGTTTCTGTCCGTAACCGTCTTTGCATGGTTCATCAGAAGTATTCTGAGGAACTTGTTGCAAATTAAACCAGCTAAGCGTTTTGAGTGACTGTTGTCAATGCCCTCTGGGCAGCTTAAGATTGGCGCGTCTTCAATATAGGGTGCAATGAGTAGTTGCTGAACTTCGTGCACATTTGTTCGCGGAAGGTGCTTAACGGCCATTAAAAAAAAAAGCAACAATGTTGTCCAGAGGTGTGATGAACCTAGGATTTAGATAAGGAAGTCCGCTATTATCCTGGCCTTGTAATAAGACGAACAGAGGATCACCTCTGTTACTCGTAGTCAACAGCATAACACAGGCGTCGCACCCAAAGTCACTAATGAGTTTAATCAGATAGCCACCAAGGTACCAGACCAGAGTACGTCACGGAGGGAGATGGAGCTCAAAGCTCTTTCAGTTTTTTCAGGTCAGTGGTGACCTAGGAAGCTCGAACTGCAGCGCAAAGCAGCTCGAAGGGACTCTCCGAGTGGGGTGAAGTGGGGTGAGGTCGTTGCGCCCCCGGCGGCAAGCAAGTGAACTACATACGGAGAAAAAATGGCATTGACTCCCGGGCGATTGCAAAGGTCGCAAGCGCCTCCAGCCCGGCCGTGGTCTGGTTTACCTGTCGGTGGTACGTAATCGGTTCTAAATCCCCTTTTATGAACAGAATTGCATCAAGACGCCTATGTGGGTTGGAGGTGTGTTCTCTCCGGTTGTATATCTTTGTCACTATCGAAACTGAAAGAGATCAGGAAGGAAGTGTACAGCGAAGAAAACATTCTCGTCTGCCATTGACATGCGAAAAGGACGGTTCCCGATGGGATACTATACATTACCGCCATTAGTAGGGCAAACGTTCAAGAGCTATATCAGCCACAAGGTGGCACTTAATTGCGGAAAGAGTCTATTTCCATAGAGGAATACTGCGCCGTGAACGCACGCTTGGGTCACCAAAAAAAAAAAAAAAAGGGGGGGGGGGAGGGGGCATCCGCCATATTGCAAAGATAAGACTTTTGTCAGAAAGGTCACCAACGTGATTCGCTGATCCCGTTTCTATGCTAGGTTCTTGTTAGCACCATGTTTGTGCTCTAATTTAAAAAAACACACAAATTTGCTCCTCCACTCGTTTGCGCGACGAGTGCTTCGTTTATAATTTATATATATAACTTTATTTAATTAAACATTGTTGACGAACATCAGGCGCGAAAAACTCAAAATCTTATTGAAAAAAAAAAAAAAAAAAACACAGCCGTACTGTTTGAGCTTTTTTCTTTTTTTGCCGAACTTACTTAGTGCGGGATAACGGGCACTATAGTGTGTTTGTAATAGCGTACTCCACCAAACCAAAGAAAGAAAGAACTTTCGTTTTTCCTTTCTTTCTGCTGTACAATGCAAGCTTCGGGGACAATGCAAATGGAAATACAAATCCAGCGAAGACAAGGGAAATTGAACAGCAGCTTCGAAGTGTCGGCGACTTACTACAGCACGCTTCTCCCGATGTTTTCTTCAAGCTAGCCTTCGGCGTCGCACCAGAGTCGATGCACGTCTACGGTCACAGCCTGGGTTCCCACATTGGGGGCTACGCCGGCGAGAAACTTCAGGGCAGGCTGGGACGGATCACAGGTACAGAGGGCCGCATGTCAGCTCCTGCAGCCGAGACGGCCTTACGCGCTCTTTGGAACGACCTTACCGTGCAGTACTAAAATATGGGAGATAACGCAAGCTAGTTAATGAATGGTCGTATCTACATAAAACCCGAAAAATTAACATTTTTACTCCTTGTCTCGGGTTTTTATACGTTTGACTATGACCATCAGCCTATCACAAAGTTTCTTATATGTTTGTTGCAACGTAAAACTAAGCCTAGAGTTGTTGTAATGCAGAAGTGCATTAAAACAGACTCAGATTTCGGTACTTTCCGTCGCGAGCGTCGCGTGCAACCCCCCCCCCCCCCCTCCCCCCCCCCCCCCCCCAGTGGGAGTTCCCCTGTAAAAATTATTTTTGACTCTATTGAAAACTAGTTGACTTCTTGTTCACTCCGATTACTTTCTTTGCCTTTGACTTCTTGTTGTCGAATTTGTGTTGAATTTTTTTGTTAAACTCCTGCAGCCTTGTATAAAAAAAGCTGTTAATTTTTTGTTAATTCTGCGTTGATTTTATTTTTTTGCTCACTTGCTGTTGACAGCGTCACCAGAAAGACTCCAGGGCCCGTTTGCTCGAAGCACTAACCGCGGCTAAAGTTAGCCGCAGATCCTAGGAGAGGGATTTTGAAATCACCTGACTGAGGCTCGGTAGGGATGCGGGAAAACATGGCGGTGCCCCAGTGAGTGAGCGCCGGTCGCTTTGGAACTAATATGTCGGTGTAGCTGCAATATCGGGCGCGTTAGTCAGCAACGAATAAGGCAGGAGGCTTTCGCTTTGCCTTACCTCACTTAAACCGCAAAGCATGGGCAATGACATCGCCTCATTTTTTAGGTAGTGTTTCGATTCTGGGCATTCCTAAGCCTAAATTAACGCGATAATTGTCGGCATGGCAACGTCTTTGGAAAGCAGATTGTTGCTAGCACACAAAAGCAGACAGCGTCCCAACAGACCTTTTTTCTAATGGCGAATTCCACTGGTCGTTTTGGAGCGCGCCGGGATCGACTTTTCTGGAGCGAGCCTATTTCACTGGGGGATCGGGATTGAGACCGACATGTTTCACTGGTCGTTTTGGATTAGCTCCCGCTCCAGATCTTGATCTGGATCCGATGGCGAATTCCACTGGGCGTTTTGGAGCGCGCCGGGATCAGTTGACCAGATTCGGAATGGAGCTCACAATCCGAACGGGGTCGCGCCGGCGATGGATCCCCATGTGGAACATGACCACTGCTCCGGGATCGGCATTTGCCTTCATGTCATTCGACTGCCGGGGAATCCCCTTTCCGTGGCCGCCGCGGTCGTTTTGAAGACGTTTTCGCCATCGCGGTGCTAACACGTGTTCAACAACAGTCGGGCAACATGTTGTTGCCGCCCGGCAAGAGTGTTGCCCGATTTGTTGCCCGACAACCCTGTCACACCGTGCTGACGGCGAGGACAACAGGCGGACCACTCCGCCATCTTGATTGTTTACCTTCGTTCGTGTGCGGCGCGGAATCGCTGGAAATGTGACTCTACAAAGCGCTAGTGCGTCCGAAGGGCCGGGAATTACTACGGTACGACATCAACCATTGGCTGTAATTAGAAAACTTGACACGGGGAGTATTTTCCGCTTTTTATTTTATCAAGATGTTCTTCATTCGCTGACAAAGCAGATAGCCCTAACCGAGGAAAGTGACATCGCTGATATATGTTCGGCATTTACGCCACCGTATGAAGTGTTTCTGTCCGGTTCTTTCATGCAATTCCTATTTCTGCTGTAAAATTGCGTTAGCACCGGCAGTACCCCAAACCGTCTTTTGTAACGTGGTGTTGAGCTGAACTGACAGTGCTTCAAAACTGCGACACCGGCACCATCGGCCTTCATAACAATCACCAACTAGCCCAAGTATCCACCATTTGGAATAAATAGTTTTCAACGCTGTCTACTTGTCTACCGCTTGCTATGTGATCGATTCCTTCCCCCAAAACGTCCTGGTTTTTTTTTTTTTTTTTAACAAATCAGGTGTCTGGTAGCGGCTGGTTCCAAGTTCCAAGCATCAACGTCTACGAGATCGCGGCGCTAACACGTGTTCGACGCACGAGCGGCAGGAATGGCTCAGGAGCGTCTAGCAAAGATTGCCGGAATGCCCGTAGCGCGGCGAAACTTTTCTCTTCTTTTCTCCTTCCTGGAAAACAAACCGGCTGTCGAGCCAAGGGGTAAGCAAGCGGCCATTACCATTTCTTTTGAGGCGAGATCAGGCGAGATGCCCGCGAGAAAGGAAGTCACGTGTGTGCGCCGAGGGTTGACCCGGCTGGCTTCCGGTTGAATCCGCCGAAATCGGGGGAGCGACTTTTCTCGGATCCAGATCGAGATCTGGAGCGGGAGCTAATCCAAAACGACGAGTGGAACAAGTTCGTCTCGATCCCGATCGCCCAAATAGGCTCGCTCCGGGAAAATTGATCCTGGCGCGCTCCAAAACGACCCGTGGAATTCGCCACGAGAAAAGTCGCTCCCACGATTTCGGAGCCCTCGGCGCACACACGTGACTTCCTTTCTCGTGGAGCATCTCGCCTGATCTCGCCCATCTCGCCTCAGAAGAAGAAGAGGCACGTCACGGGCTGGGCTCCTAGATTGTCTCGACATCAGAAGAATTCCTAATGGCCGCTTGCTTACCAATTGGCTCGACTGCCGGTTCGTTTTCCAGGAAGGAGAACAGAAGGTATTTCCCGGCGCTACGGGCATTTCGGCAATCGTTGCTAGAAGCGCCTGAGCCATTCCTGCCACTCGTGCGTCGAACACGTGCTAGCTCCGCGTAGCGAAAACGTCTTCGAAACGACCGCGGCGGCCGCGAAAAGGGGGCTCCCGGGCAGTTGAATGACGGGAAGGCATTCGCCGATCCCGGAGCAGTGGTCATGTTCCACTGAGGATCCGTAGGCGGCGCGACCCCGTTCGGATCTTGTGCTCCAATCCGGATCTGGTCAACTGATCCCGGCGCGCTCCAAAACGCCCAGTGGAATTCGCCATAAATCATCCAAGCACCGAGGTGCATGCTACGACTGTAGTTGCACGCGTCGCACGTGCTGGCGTCTGCAGTAGTAACCGTTCTAAAGCAAAAAGTATAAAACAAATTTTGCCTTGCACGCGCATTCGTTAAAGCCTTATTATGATTTTTTACTTCGAATCTTTTATAAGATTCGAAGTAAAAAATCCTTATAAGAGGAAGGCCAGCGCGCGTGGACCGTAGAATTACACTTCCAGCGTTCTCCTCGCGATGCTTGGATAATTTAGAAGTCTGTTGGGACGCTGTCTGCTTTTGTGTGCTATACGCCTCGCAAGTGGGCTCATTTTCGTCTTCTGCGCATGAGAAAGGAAGTAGCGGTGACGTCAGGACGGCGAGCCCTGATTGGCTAATCGCGACTCCCTATCTGAGCGTCGTCTGCTCCTTTGCAACGTCGTCTGCTCCTTTTCAACGTCCTCTGCTAGCAACGTCGTCTGCGTCTGTCTTACCTTTCCTGCGACTTTCGGAGCAAACTCGACTTCGTCTTTAAGAGAGGGCAGACGAAATAACTCGATCGGTATGTTGTTTTTGTCTAACAACTAGCAGACGCGCATCAAGGAGGGAAGTCAAAGGACTCACTGGCGAGGTGTCCCGAGGCGCCGAGGTTTGTTTGCTTAGAACCGAGATTGAGTGTGTAATTAGTGTCCGCAAGTTCCCTCCCAAACACTTTTCCCCTCCTTTCGTGTGCGGCGAGACCCCTCCCTCTTTAACGGCGTCGGCGGGTTGGCGCAGTTAACGTCGTCTGCTTTACGTCTGCTAGTCAAAGCGATGGCTAGCTGCTTTACCTTTCCCGCGTCTGTCGGAGATTCACCGCTTTTCCACCAGTGAGAGTCACTGTTGCCTCGGGAAACAAGGAGATAACAAGAGGAAGAAATTGACCTCTTAATCTAAAATTGAGGTCAGCGATCAAAGTATAATACGGGAAGGGTTCACATGGGTCAAGCGGGCATATTCCATTCAGCACGCCAACCGGTCGTGGGCAGACGGTCGTCGAGTCGCGGAGTGCCTGCTAGGCCTAACTGCCCAGCTCGTTTGGTCGCGTTCGGTGGAATCGTGGCCGTTGGAGCTTTTCCCGGGTGTTTGTGGATCCAGCGTTCTTGTTCGTCGTGGTCTGTTTCAAGTACTTTTTACTTTTTTCTTGCTGCTTGAAGTCGGGACGCGTCAGAAGCCCACGTAGAAAAATAAACGTCCGTGGGTCGTCGCGACCGCGACGTTGTCGGCCATGCTGATTTGATCGTAAGAAGTTCGTAAGACAGCTTCGGAGCTGTCGTAGGATTTCGTCGTAACCTGCGCAAAACTTACGAAAATTTCGTTTCGTGAATGCGAATTTGTTCTTAAGTTTTGTCTTACGCACATTTTTGGCGTAAGATCGTTTCGTGAATCTGGCCTCTGCACTTCCGAAAGTCGCAGGAAAGGCAAGACAGACGCAGACGACGTTGCGAGCAGACGACGTTGCAAAGGAGCAGACGACGCTCAGATAGGGGGGTCGCGATCAGCCAATCAGGGCTCGGCGTTCTGACGTCACCGCTACCCCCTGCGCAAGAAGCAGACGAACGATTTTGAGCCGGAAAAAGAAGACGACGACGACACTGCTGCTGGTAACCCTTTTCGTGTCTCTGAATTTTCCTTACGTAGCCGATAAATTGCGTGTTTATACAGCACATTCGGCGGTTAACAACTAACAGAACGACATAGGATCTTCGTGCGCCAAGGACCTCCTGAGGGGAGGCCAGGACATCAACAAATATGACCTCGGACATCGAGTCATCGAACGCTCTCATGTCCATTGACATGGATGAAGCACAGGCAAGCACATCGACGATCATCAAAGACGGCTATGAGATTCCACCCATACACTGCGCCGCTGACACAATGAGCAGCTCCTCATCGACAATCGTGTCTACTAACGACGAGTTGCACTCCGACGACGGTGACTACGAGGTC